ATTATTTTATATTATTAATATTAAATATATTCATTTAAAAGAGTTTTCAAGATCTTGAAACACTTCTGGGAACATTCACACTGTCACAAAGTCAGATCTTTTGTGCTTTTGAAAATGAGTCTGAATGCGTCTCTGAAATCATCCCTTGTGCTTGATAATTTAGTTCAGCATCTCCATTTTGAGTTGTAGAATGATGCTCTTGCGTATCTTGGATACAAATAGTGACTGCCAAGAGTCAGGGAGCAGCGAGAGCAGACTGCTCCACAGGGAAGGGGTGGGTGGAAAGTGGTGGGCAAGGCAGGTGAGGGAAGTCACCTCACTGACAAGGCACAGTCCTGCAGTACCCAAGCCAGGAGAAGAGAGCGGGTCCCATGGTGGTGACAAGGTCAGCCACAGCACAGTGATGGCCAGACGCGTCTGCAGTGATGAGATGGGTTCAAGGTCAAGTCAGCAAGTCAGGGTTGAGATCAGCCAGGCACAAGGCTGGGCACAGGCATCCCTGAAACTTAACTCAGGCAAGGACCAAAAGTGAGGGAGTGAGGTCCTGAGCTCAATTGCAGCTCCTGAGTGAAGGGTCGGGGCAGCACCTCAGTTCTCACAGCTTTTTTCCCAGCTCTTTCTGCTGTGTCTGTTCCCAGCTCAGAGCTGCACCAGGTCAGAGCTGCCCATCTGCACGGACAGCCCAGTGGTCCCAGTGAGTGTGAAAGGCTGCAGAGCCTGAGCGTGTGCAGAGCCCTGAGACTGGAGCTGGCAGAATTAGAAATTAAAATACACTTTAAATAGGTGCAGCACCTAATCTGCGTTTAGTTAGCTTCTGTACGGTGAAGATGGTGGTTACAGCCACAGCTTTCTTTAGAGGCAACGTTAATATTTTCCTTAAAGGTCACACATGCCTAGTGAAAATGTCATTTTTTAAAAAACCCAACTGTGTAGTTGGAATGAATAGTGGAAGAATAATGGTATCTAGAGTCAGTACAAGCCAAGACATGAACCTAGAAATTGTAAGCTTGGGATCTACTGTTAAAGCCGTATTGTTTTGTGGAGCATTGCAATTATGAAGTTCAACATAGTTTTAATTTCAACTGTAAAAATATGTGGTATTTCTTAAAACTGAATTTGTAGTGTTAATTATAATGTGTATTTCGCAATAGTTTTCTAGACTTTGTATCTTTGTATGTTAGGAAATACATACATGTTCATGTTAAATTGTTGAATAATGCAGAATTTTCCTAGTATTATTGCTGCTGTTACCCATTTTATTATGAGTTTATTATGAGTATATGTTAGTGAAATAATATAAAATACTATATCTGAAAGCTTTTAAAAGCTGACTCAAATTCCACTTTTTTTTCTTTAAACAGATGTTCAGAACTGCATTGGTGAAGATGTTTGAAGCTAAAGACTTGGACTGTGTGTTCCTAGAAACAAACATGAGTATGAAGAAACGGTATCACATGGTATATGAATGCATTCCTCTTCCAAAAGAAGTGGGAGATATGGCTCCAATCTACTTTAAGGTGCATGGAAATGTTTGGGTTTTTTTCTTAGATCATCTGAATGTATTTATCATAATTCATCTATTTCTGGAAAACATTTTTTGATATCCAAGTACTATTTTTGAAAAGGTGGATTCTTTGATCCTATTTTTTGATCCATTCTTTGATCCTATTCCTTGACGTTAAAACAAGCCCTGTGAGGTAATTCTGTTTTTCAGACAGGCAGTGGAGAAGCTGTATGTCACTGTGCAGGTGCCTTAGGTCTGACTGCACTGACAAATACTGGAAGAAGATGAGAGATCTGTGGTTTCTTGAAGTGCTGTAAGGATTGCAATGCTTCTCACTGAAGTCCTGTAGTATAAACTTGAAACCCCATACATGTACCTTGGCAAGCATGACATGAGAAAATTATGTCAACTGTTTTAAGAAACACCAATATATATCATCCCCATTTTATTTCAGTAGGCCCAAATTTTACATGTGTCTTAGGTCTCTGATGGACACTAGACAGCATGGTAGATGCTGTAGCTTTTCTGGTCTCTTTCCTGTCAGGAAAGGCTCATTGAGGCTGTTGCCTGGAACTGCAGCCTTTCAGCCTTCAGCAACTGGATTGTGATTTGCCTTGTATAAGTAATTTTTTTTGTTGTTCTTTGAAACATTTTTATTTTTTGGAAATAAATACTGTGATTGTTTTTTGATGAAGTGGAGCAGTCAGTATGATGAACAGCGGTGCAGTAACTTGAAATTGAAAAGGTACCTACGCTATGCACACTTACATACCATGGAGGATACAGATGCTGCTTTAAAGGGTTTTAAACGCAATCAGCCTTCTAAGCTGGATTCTCCTCTTAGTGTTTAAAAAGAAAAAATCATAAAGGCTCATATACTGTAATGAATCCATAAGAGGTTTTGCATAAGCTTAGTAAAAAGTGAATGTGACCTTTTAGTTGAAACTTGTTAGAGATAATTTGTGTCAGGCAAACGTTTTTAAATTTAAGAAGAAAAAAAAAAGGAATAGAATTAAATGAGTTTGAGGATATTATACGATGCCTTTATGTAAGTTCTGGAAATCAGAAAGGTTGCCAAAACTAAAGTTACTTTGTTAAGAAATAATTGGTACTTGCACTGCAATGTATTTCACAACACTGAAGAGTTAGTTCTTTGCTTGCTATATGAAGGACTATATTCACATTTAGATAAAATGATTTTACAGAAAGCTATAATGGAATCTGATGAAGAGTGGTCCGTGAACAAGAAGTTAATAGATCTTTCTTCAAAAGATGTTCGGAAATCTGTAAGTAATGAAATGTATTGAACATTCTGCAAATTCTTCTCATCTTTTTTTGTTACTAACTGTTTCAAAGAGAGAAGAAAGGGAGCACAATTAGATTAATGGATCAGGAGATGGCATAGGCATGATGAGAATTAAAAGTCTGACTGAGCTTCTAACCGACATTAGGGAGAAGATTCCCTTTTATTTCAACAATAGCTGGACTGAGCTGTGAGCACTGGTTGAGAACAAAGCTGGCACGTTGAGGACATGTACTAGCATAATTTACTTGATTAACTTTTAGAATTAAGGTAGATCAAAGATTTGCAAATTACTTTCCTGGAAAAAATACTGTGTGTCTTTTTCATTGACCTAGAGCAGCCTTTTGTGTTGCTAAGTTTATGAAGCAAAAATATAAATAGCATTATAAGTCTTTTTTTCTAAAACAAGGGAACAGCACTCTCTCTGTCTCCTGGATACTAAACTGAAACATCTTTATACATACAAGTCTTAAAGGAATAATGCTGAAACTGTTAGGTTCAAAGGTGGCTTCATCTTTTTAATATTGAAGTGAAAGATATGTGGTACATGTAGTAATAATACTTAATTTCTGAAAGTGTCTTTTAGTAAATATAGCACCTTTGCACTAAAAAAAAAATCCTAGTTTAGGAGAAAGAGGAGATGGGTTTTAATAATGTGACATGAAGCCTGATATGACAGAGAGAGAGAGATTGGATGCAGAAGAGTAAGGGATCGGGTGGCTGTATAGTAGGAGAGGTTTTGGATATTGTGAAGACTCTTGAACCACTGCTACCAGCAGTGGTAGCAAATGTAGCAAAAAGACAAAAATTTTTCTGCCACATAAGCTGAAATGTCATATACATGTAATGGGAGACAGTTATGGGTCTCACCTTATTTAAAGTGGTGAGGCTTCACCTGGAAAATTTGGGTCTGGTTTTGAGCACAGCATTTTAGGACAGTTACAGAAGAGGAATGCACAGGTTAGAAAACTTAACTAAAGAAACTGGGTTAGGGGCTGTGCAATCTGAAAAAGAAAAGACTGAAATGGGATGTGATGGTAGTTTTCTGTATCTATGAGATTGGTTTAATGACGATAGTACCTAATTCTTTGCTAGCACAACTGAGTGCAGACAAGGAGAAATTCAATTAATCTGTAGCACGTACTTAGGGGAGACTTTAAAATTAAGGTGGATGTAAACAGACAACAAAATAGGTAGGTTTTTTTATATCATCTGCTCATAGGTGTTTCAGAACACGGGAAGCAAAATCTGTCACAGATAAAAGTATAATTTTCTTGACAACATGCTGAGGCATCAGGACATTTGTTTTATTTAAGAATCTTCTTAGCTGTGCATTTTTGTGATGCAATAGAAGGTAGGTCAGTTTTCAGATTAAGTCAAGATACACCTTTGAATTAATAGAATGCATCTGAATGTAAATTGTTACACAGTTGTGTGCTTTTAACATTATTCTGGGGTAAAAGAAATGCCTGTAGCCTTCAGGAAGATATGAGAGTATAGTTTAGAGGCCGAGCTGAAGTTTGGGAAGTTGGAGAGTTGTATTAGGAGATGGTGGTGCCTGGAAGGGTTAGACATGGCTGAGACATCATCTAATGGGTGGATTGTCTGCAGGAATTGGGACTGCGGTGTCCAGAGGCAGAGCCCAAGCATCCAGCCCTTGCACAGCATCAAGGCGTTCTTGCTTCTCCCCTTGCTCCCTGCAGCGAGGGAGCTGGGGGTGGGCAATGGTTGGGCGTGGACACAGCCAGGAGAGCTGAGCTGGCAGCAAGCGCTGTTCAGCAATAGCCAAAGCACGGTCATGTATCAACACTGGTTTGGTCACCAGTCCAAAACTCAGCACCACATGGGCTGCTGTGATGAACTCCATCCCAGCCAGACCAGACACAAATAAGATAAAGCTGACCTTTTCCTTAAGGTATCACCTGCTGACCCATTTTTTCCTTACTTAATGATTTTTTTTTTAGTTAATTTAAAATGTTTTAAGTTTCTTGCTATGCTATGTTGCCCCTCTGTATTAAATCCTAATTATTTTTAAATTTTCAAGCAATATATGGAACATGCCTTTTGAAAATTGTGCAGTTATTTGGACTTGTAGCAGAGAAAATGCTTATGAATTTGAGGTTTTGTAAATCTTATCTGTACAAGAACGTCCTCAACAATTAAAAGAGTGGAAAAATAACTTGTTGCAGTGAAACAGCAGAAATTTCTTGCAATACTGTAGCAAAAGATGAATCCACTTCTCAGACTGAAGAGTCTTTCCTTGTGGCAGGATAACCGTGTCTCTTCTGAATTACTAAATTATCCATTTCATAGAATCAAAGAATGGTTTGGGTTGGAAGGGACCTTAAAGATCATCTAGTCCAATCCCACAAAAAGTGAATGGTAACTTCCAGTCATATAGTGAGGTTTTCTGGTACTGTATTTTCCATAGAGGTGTTTCTCCTTTCCCCTGCATGTGAATGTTTCCTCTGGGTAAATATTTCCTGTTATCACACAACACCTTATCTTTAATACATGCAACTTGGTGGTGGTTGTCTTAAAATTTCTACTTGGCCCATGTAATTCATAGGCGAGGAGTCAGGAAGGTGTTTGCTCAGTGTGCATGCTGCTGCCTGGTCCCTCCCTGTCTCCTGTGTGGGGCTCCAGCAGTGTCCTCTGGAGGATCTGCCACCCAGTATCTTTTCACCCAGAAATCTTTTCAGTTTTCAGTGTCACTTTATCTAGTTGTGTCTTGTTCTCATTGCCTGTTGGTTTTACTGTTTCTCTGTTGCAATTTTATACTACACTTACTTGGTTTGAGAAGTGGTTTAAAATAAAATGTGATACTATCAACTGTAAAACCACTTTCAAATTCATGAAGTTGTGGGGAGGTTAACTGGATGCCTACAGTCTGTTCAATGTCAAACAATGTGGGTTTGTGTCTATAGGTTCCTAAAGGATTACCGTACTTTTCTGTGGACTTTGGCCTTCAAGGAGGATTTGCTCATGTCATTGAAGATCAGCACAAGTTCCCTCATTACTTTGGAAAGGTATTGTTGTGTAAAAGATCGATTTACCAGTCATACTCTATTTTGTGAAATTAAGTAATTAAAACAGATATGTCTAGAACAGTCACTTTGATGTATGTTATCCCAGTGTTACTAGCTGGCTTTTCCGGGTGAGTCACTATAGCTTAGCTTGTTGAATAATGGAATATCTGATTTCTTCACTGACTGATACTCAGAATGCAATTCTAGATCCAGGCTTCCTTTGAATTAATAAGAACTCTAGATATTTGACATGCAGTCCAATAGATGGAAAATACTTGCATCTATTTAAGAAGAAGACCACCACCACATTTTTTTATGACTATAGTATTCTTATACAGGTGCACTGGCTTATGCTTGTATAAATTAAGGTGCATACACATGCAAACTCACAGACAACTCCTGGTATAATACATGTGTGGTGAAATTACACCATGTAGTATAGAGAGTGTAGTACAGAGAGAAAGAGCTGCAATAAAATCTTCCTTTATTATGTCACAGCAATTGTTTATTGAAATAGTCAATATTGCAAAAACATTGAGTGATTGGGGAGAAATAGAACTTATTTCAAGAAGAGTTAAGAGCAAAGCGGGCAGCTTTTTTGTCCTCAACTTTTCTCTTTTTAGTGACACATTTACTAATATGTTAACAGTCTTGCAGTGTTGGTATATTTATGCAGTGAATAAATAGTAAAGGAAAATCATTTTGCTGAGGCAACCATCCAATAACTACAGTTCTGTCTTTTGAATTGGTATATTTTTCAGAATTTCAAATTTTAATAACCAGCACTTGAAGAAGACAGTAACAAGCAATCTTATAATTTGAAAATACATATTTCTATATTCTATGGTAAATAGTGTTAACTAATGTGGTAATTTTGCATTTATTATTTTATTTTTAATTCTTTTATATTTATTATTTATCTGTCTGTTCTACTTGCAAAGGAAATCATTGGTGGCATGCTGGACTTGGAACCACGACTTTGGAGAAAAGGAGTCAGACAGAATTTTGAAGATCAGAGGAAGAAAGTGTTGCAGTTTGCACAGTGGTGGAAACCATACGACTTCACCAAAAAGAAGGAATGAGTACATCGCTGTAGTCAATGACTATAAAAGCCATAAATTATATTAAAGGATATTTCATATGTTAAGAATAACACCAATTGCTAATGTATTTTAAAACTGAGGATATTGTTTCAATGCTGATCACCCATTTCTGGTTTAGCCACTGTGGATCACATGAACTTGCAAGCCTGGCAAACCAGAAGGGTACTGTGTTTTTAGTTCTACATTTTTTAGCTGAGCCAAAAGAATAATATCCAAGTGGTTATTGGAATTCTTCAAAATGTACCTTTTGCTTTTTAAGTTTTTATAATCTTTGAGGCAACTGATTTTTTTTTTTAATATATAACGTAGAATCAGGTGCTCAGTTGTCACGGTGACTTTCTGTAGAAAATGGTGTAAATTTTAAGAACATTTTGATTAATACGAAGACATTGTTGCAAAAGGAAGCTGTGCAGAAAATTATTTTCCCATTTTGAGTTCTTGTATTCTTTAAGTTGAGGTCATTGCAGTAATACAAATGTTCAAGTAGGATGTGATTGATAAACCTGCTGCTGCTCCCCGGCGCAAGAATTGGTGCCATTTTCTGTACTTTCTTTCAATATGAAGTAGTATTTTCAAGCTGACCTGCACAAAGGATGATAAGACAGTCCATAGCTGGTGTCAAATGACAGTTTTAATGGTAGCAGTTACTTACGATGACAATAAAAAGCAAAAAAAAAGAGAGAGGAGCAGTGAAGAAGCTTAAGGAAAAACACACTTCAGTGGCTAGAAAAGAAGAAAATAATCTCAGAGATCTCCCCACGTGACTCTTCTCCCCTGGACATCCCTTCTACTGTGGCAAGCGATCCGCCATACCGCTTCTCTGATAATAACTATACAGTTTTTGTTGGGACCTGCTCACACTCCCTGCTGGTTGTTCCTGGTTGTAGTGCTGTTGGTGCTGATGGGAGCACGCTCTGATCAGGGGCAAGAGTTGCAGGTTCATTGATTGTTGAGCTTTGTACATGGATGTCACTGGGAAATGCCTGTCTGCTATTTAAAGGACTGCTGTCTGCTGTGTTAGCCACTGGTTTTTTTTTTCCTCTTGTGGAAATGTTGGAAAATGGGTGAGGGAGGCAAAGGGAGAGCCTTGCATCAATGTCAGTCACTTTCTGTGGGAAACCTGCTATAGCGGGCTTGGGCTTTGCAGGCACAGAGCTGGGAGAACAGGGCAGGGACAGACGGACAAGGATGAAAACGTTGCCACAGCATCCTCCTGGTGGTTAAGGGAAGGGTGATTTGCAAGCCTGCAAACAAAAGACTGCAGTGCAAATGAGGGCCCTTGGCGTGGCAAAGCTCAAGGCATTGCGCAGGTGTCCCAACATGCTTCTAGTGCTTTTCCTACTGAACCATCGCCCTATATTGCTCTGTTACCTATTGTGATCTGCTCAGATTAAGAAATGGATCACTGAATATTACAGGGTTGAATAAGTGTTTTTCTAGTCCCTTGGTGGTCTTTTACAACTTTCCTGAAGAGCAAGTATTTGTATTGTCCCACTTTGGCAATTAAGTCTGGTAGAGGTATGAATCTACTATGTTCTGAATTATTTTCTGTAGCATCTTTGTAAATTTGTGTCACTGCAAGAGAAATAGTTTAAAAATAAGCTGTCATGATAATTTTACTGATTTAATGTCCAATTTGTACTACATTTTGTGAGCAAGCCATGGATAAAAGGACCAGTTCTACTGTTCCCCAGTAAGCTTTGATCTTCCTTAGGCTGCTGGGTAGATTACAGAGCGAATGCGACATGAAATAGAGTCTCTGAGTCGATGCTTAGAATGTGGCAACACTGAAGCAAATTTAGGTAAAGTGCAGTGTTTGGTGGTGTAAAGCATGACTAAAAATTGTTTTCTCTGAAAGCGTATGTTGCCTTCAGTGTCATCTGCACCCCCGGAGGACAGCCGGAAAGCAGGAGAAGTGGCTGCCTTTTTAAGGCTTTGGAAAAGTCTTTATCCAGTGCTGTGCTGGAGATGCAGGTTTTTTAAATTATATCACTCTTCTCAAAATTTGTGTTCCTTGAGGGAAGTGCTGTGTTTCACAACAGATATCTAACTCATACATAGAAAAGTACTCTTGACTCGTGGTCTGTGCATATTTTATTGCTCTGGGTTCAGCAAAACCACTGATGTTCTTTGGACCAGAAAGGACTCTGAAATATGGAGTAAGGGTAACAATCTTAAGCTACTGATACAGGAAAATGTCTTACTCTGTTAGAAGTTTTCAGAATGGGAGACTGTGCGTACCACATACACGGAGAATAATATGTTACTGTAATTGGTCACAGAACAGACATATCTTCAGGTTAAGCTGTTCCTCTTCATAAGTATCTCTAAATATTAATGAGGCCATAAAAGTGAACACAGCTTGTTAGGGCACTTATGTGGAAAGCATGGTAAGCTTAGACTTCAGTCCTTACTCCTATAAATATTAAAATATTTTAAATATACCTCCTTCATCTGGAAGAATAACCAATACCTAAATTCTTTTTGCATTTACAGGTGGAAAATGTAAATTCAGGTATCTAGGGAGAATAGGGATTGGAAGCTGGATTTCTTACATTGCTATAAATGTGCTCCTCTGTACTCCTTGGTGTAAGTGGTGAGAAAAAGGGGCTTCTCTCTTCAAGTGAATCTCTGTGTGTGATTTAACAGGTGTTAGAACATAGCCATGTCCTGCCCTGTCAGACAGGAAGATTCTTGGGTGTAGTATGTGCAGCTACTCTTCTGCTCAGTGCCTGGCATAAAATGCAATGTTTCCCCTGCTATCAAGTCAGCTTTTTCCAACTCTGAGTACCCCCCTCCTTTGTGTTTGCTTGCTATGCTGAAGGAATTGCATCCTCTCACCTGCTTTCCAGGTCTTTCAGTGTTTTCGGGGAAGGGATGCTGCATCAGCACTGCGCCGCTGCTGCTGCTTTGTCAAGCGCTGGGTGAGGTCTGAACAAGAACTCAGACTCCAGAGCTTTTAAGTTAGTTCTGTTTGTCAAATTTCTCTAGCGAGAACCAGGACGGATGCTGTAGCCAAGCAGATCATCTGCTTCAGGCCTTGATACCTTGAAGATTCCCAGCCTAGGTCTGTCTTGGGGAAAATGAGTTAAACAGGCTCCTGTGAGGTGTTACTTTCTTCTGTACTTGCTCTCAGGCTGTTCCATTCAACCTGGTGTTCCCTAGGCCCATGCAGTTGCTTTGGAACGGTGCCTGATGCACGAGGCAGTAGTCCTCATGTTAAGAACCCATATTTTGAGGTTATTATTTTTGCTCAAGTTGGAGGAAAGCACCGTGAATTTGTACCACACCATTAGCTACAAAATGACATGGAAAATCTGCCATGGTGTCACTGTCCTTATCCATAACCAGTGATTCGTTGATGTCAAGGGGGTTGCCTCAATCATCCATTGCTGCCAACTGAGGTAATGTAAAATGAAGTTGATGTAAGCTGAGGTAAACCCAACTAAAATGGAGAGCAAGGCTTTATGCCTATTGCTGGTGCTCTTCCAGATAGGTATTTCTCATATATGTCCATATTCCATGTGCTCTTCCCTTCGTCTTTTGGAGTAAGACAGTGAGATGCTGCATTTAGTGCAGTTTCGGTGTAACAGTGGTAGATTGTAGATTTGTGCTTGTTAAAATACCTGAAAGAGAACGACGTTGCTGTCCTGGAAGATCAATATAATGTTCAATCTCGTCTGTTTGGGGTGATTTTTATCTCTGTTTGTTCATGAATCCAAAGAATGAGTTATTCGCAGAGTCCTAATCAAATGTGATACAGTGGGATTTTACGTATTGAGTTCAACCACCCTGTTTTAAATTTCATACAAGTTCTGACTGTAAAATAACATGCTAAAATAAATAGTAACTGTTATGTCAAGAGAACACAAGTCTCTTGCAATCTATGAAAGAAGCAGCATTTTGATGGGTCCCTTAAGGGTTCTGTCTTTGGTCAAAATTTCATCAGCATTTCCTGTCTTCTGCATCTGTACTTTTGTGATGAAAGTATGTTTTCTGTTTCTAATTCCAGCTGGACTTGAAGACACAGGGTGTTATTTGTTTACTTTAAGCATAGCAGTTCTGGAAACAAGATCCTTAATATCCTTGCTGGAAGTGCCATTTTTAGCCCATACAAATCAAAACAGCCTGATCCAGCATGAAGAAACAGACATTAGAAATCCAAGCTTGCTAATGTTGTAATTTTCATGTGCATATTGATGTAGCTGTGTGGTAACACTTCTTTTCTAGATGTTGCATTTACTTATGCAGTTAAAGTGAGAAGAAAGGGTAACAAGCTTCCTTCAAAAAAGTCACACTGCTACAACTTTTACAGGGAAGCTGGTGTAGATTTTATCCCCAAATTAAGAACCAGTGGAAGCTGGTTCCAAAGGAAGATTTAAGCTTTCTTTGGGTCCCAGATTTCAAAGCTAATAATACAATCCCAGGATTGTTCCAGGAAAATCTTTGGAAAAGAGATATCTATCATTGTAGAAGTTGACGAATTTGTGGTTTTAAACATTGTATCCTACTCAGTGATCAATCTGGCACAACTGCCCAGCTGTCTCTGTTCTGAGCCTTGTGACAAAATGTCTGTGAAGTACTAGAACTGTGTTTTAAAAGGACTGCATAATTGCAGTGCATCTTCCTCTGCAAGCATCTTTATCCTCCCTGGTGTCCTGCCTGACACCTAAGCACTGTACACAGAGCACCCAAAGGGACATCATGCAACATGAAATGTGTGTTGGTCACATTAGAGAAAGCGCAGTCTGAGCTCTTCGTGTGTGGGTAGATGTAAAAAGTTCATTCCACAATGCCCAAGCTGCCTGTGCCTTTGTACATAGCATCTGGGGGCAGCTGGCGGCCTGCAATGGCTCTGATGAACTTGCTTTCAGTTCTTTCCTAGACTTGAAAATCCATCAGTTAATTATTTTTCAATTCTTGGCTTTTGTGGAGCAGGTCTCAGAGCATTGTCCTGGTTTTGCTGGGACAGAACCGTAGGGAACAAAGCAATAAGACACTTTGTTTTTGTTTTCAGCCAGTGCTGGTATGTGATGATCAGGGTCCTTAGTTTTGAATTAAGCAGGTGCAGAAGCTGAGGGGAGTGAAAACCCAGGGCAGATGACCCCAACCTTACCAACAGAAATTATCCCATACCATAGATGTCATGCTTACTATGAATTGGGGAGTTTGCTGGGGACAGCCTGCTTTTGTCAATGGCTGCTGTACCAGGAGGGTCTTGCCTGTTGTTCTGTTTCTGAGACCTGCTTCCCTTCTCGTGACCACTATATCGGCTGAGTATGACTTTATGTAGCTTACATTAACACTGTTATTAATACTGGTTTTTCTTAGTATTTTTCTATTTGAATGCATACGGCTCCTTTCGTTTTTCACATGCCCCTGCCCAGATGAGAAGGA